CACAAACAAATGTCATCTGAACCAGCCGTAAGAAAAATACACCAACACGGAAAGTTTTGTGGTGTGGAAAAAAAAAACTGTTACCCTCTCAAGGCCAGCTGAGATAATTAAAAGCTTGTTAACGTTAATACTGATATATAGTGAGAAAGCCAACAGAGTAATAATGCGACTATAATAAAGCCTTACTGTGTTTGTCAGGGTTAAACCACAGCAGCATATATTCTATTCTAATTATAAATCTAAATATAAATAAATACAGGGGATACCACACAAAGACTATTACATAAACAAGATTGATCATTTGATACTATCATAATGTGTTGCAGTGATATAGAAAGGCATATTCAAATTACTTTTTACAATTGTTAGAAATATTTTTTACATCTAGTACATTAAACAAGATTTTTAAAGTGGTAACATCTGAAGTAAACAAAAAAATATTTTTTAAATAATAAAAATATGTTATAGTTAAAAACAACTATATCACCCATGACTCATATATGTGTGCAGCTGCTTCTGCCACAAAAGGAAGTAACTTTATATTGTGATGATTCCTCTAGGATTACATGGTATAAAATAAAGTTCTAAAATGTGCTTTAATCATTCCTAAATTCATCTTCACTGGTTCTTATCCATCCTTCAAGGCCTATGAGCTCAAATGTCCACTGCTTATCTCCATATGATATCCCAGGATGTTGGATCTCTTAATGCTGCAGCCTGAGCCGTGCTCCATCTGTAGGTGGAGGAGGGCTGCAGGGCTCTTGCATCTGCAAAGTCTGTCAACTCTGTTGGCCTTTCTGGATCTTTACTTCCAAATCCATCCCATTATCCGACTGCCACCATACTGCCTTTTCTCATCCAGACTCCCCAACATGTCGTCATCCGTTCTCGCCCCCCCACCATTTTCTCTGTAAGCCCTGCGCCTATGTGGATCTAAGTCAAAGTACATCTGTTCAACATGGCGGCAGCCTATGGCATATGACCTGCTGACTGGCTCGGATCCCTGCTGAGGTCAATAGAACAGGATCCTGCATGGCAAGGATGATAGACTGGCACAGTTGTTGTCCCTCATGTCTTCATAATTTGCTTAATTCATTATTCGGAGCACCAGCACATCTATGAACGCTGAGATCATTCTGCATTACCATGCCAATAAGTATCTCTGAAGTAGGAATTAGAAATTCACATCACTGCCCATGGGAAGTGGCCCCATAAAGAGTGGAAGGGAAAAGTACTGGTTGAGTTTTAAGAGCAGGGTTTTGTAGTAAAAAAAAAAACTGGTGATGCCAACATAATGATGGGTTTGACGATCAAAAGAGTGTCCTGTAATAATTATTATGATTTTTTCCAACACATTGTAATAAGCTAATAGTATCATTTTGTTTTAAGAAATTAAAATGTTTCATAGATAGATAGATAGATAGATAGATAGATAGATAGATAGATAGATAGATAGATAGATAGATAGATAGATAGATAGATAGATAGATAGATAGATAGATAGATAGATAGATAGATAGATAGATAGATAGATAGATGATAGATAGATAGATAGATAGATAGATAGATAGATAGATAGATAGATAGATAGATAGATAGATAGATAGATAGATAGATAGATAGATAGATAGATAGATAGATAGATAGATAGATAGATAGATAGATAGATATTGAAGGAGCAGGGTGATGTGCTTTTATTTTGCTAATTCACTTGCACGCCTCTTTAGCCCAGTTCCTCCTTCCCACTGAGTGTTCTGTGTATTGGCCAAAGCAGACTCGCTAATTCTTCCCTTTGTTGCTTCAGCAGAGACTCTAAATACATTTGTTCAGTCATTTGCTTTTGAATGTCCTGTAAAAGAACTCCCAGAGTAAATTGTGACACCGCTGCGTCTGTGTGCGTCCCGCTCAGGCCACGGAGCCCGACGCAGCGCTTAAAGGCCGCATGGCACAAAGCGCGCCGGACAAATGGACCCATTACTCTCGAGGTGAATTGTTCTTTGGCAGGATGTGGTCTCCTATAATGAGTAAGTGGGTATGAATTGGATCCTTTAGCCCGCAAACATTAATGTGAATATGTCAGTCAGCCCTGTGTTGTTACAGAAAATTAAAGAAATAAAGAAGAAATACGTATTTACCCAATTTAAATAAAATCCAAATAAAGATAAAGTCAATCATAACTTATAATTACATTAATTTTGGGAAAGTTACAAAAAAATTAATATAAAAGTTATTTGTGTATTTACACACTGGTGCCGAAGGGCGCGTTGCTGTAGAGGGAGACAGGAGAGAGATGCTGAGCATGAATAAATCAAGTGAGAAAGTTTGATGAGAAACGTGCCAATTGAAAACAGGCACGGGAAAGCTCCTGTGGAGGTGTGATCTCACCCTCAAGAGACGCACAAACATGTGCGAAACAAAGGGCTGCTTGTGCGTAATCAAAGAAATAAACAAGCATAAATAGAAAAATGCAGCAAGGGAACTGCTGTGCATGAAGTCCGCATTAGAAAGAAAACGCTGAGTTGAGTTTATTAGAGTTGACTCACGTTTTATTCATGATTCTTTCCTTTCACCTGAAACAACATTTCAGTACTTTTTGTGCGTAAATGTGGTTGAAAATAAAAACGTGTGCCACGCCAGAAGATGCTTTTGCTCACATACGTTTCCTTTTTTAACTTCCTCCTTCCATCACAGGTAATTTACACCAAAGGGTAAGCAAAGCGCCCGTGCACCACACAGGACTGTCATCAACGCAATTTGTCTCCTCGGCTTTGACGCAGCTCAAAGTTCAGCAGCCAAGGCCTCACGTTTACCCACCGAGGAATAACAGCACTCTTAATAATCCACACGCTCTTTGACAGAAAACACTGCTCTGTTTTAATGCTCGAGTCAAGTCAGTGACTTTCAAGATCTTGAGTATCAAAAAAAACTTTATAGTTGAACAAGCAAACACTTAAAAGATCTAATTTGTTGAATTAAAATAAATAAATACACCACGGACATGTAATTAATTAGGAAAAAAGACGAAACTAACAGAAAATCGATTTTTTTAAATGACGTAAAAGCTGTTAGGCAGGTCTTGGATTATTGTGCGCCATTTCTGTGTGCAGCTACAGAACAGAGACACCTCTGAGTGTAATTGTCCCATAATTGCACAATTAAAAGTAAACCCAGTTTGTAAAATTAAAACCTCTTGGACTTCACTGCGTTTCCATTTGAGAAATACGTGAATAAAGAAAACTTGAATTCAGGAGGAGGCTTTTCTTTTCTTTCCTTTTCCTTTTTTCTGCGTGACCCATGGACCCGTGAGAGCGCGTGTTGCTCCGGGGGAATCGTGCCCCGTCGGGCTGCGTGATGCGAAACCAGCTCCAGCCCTGATCATAAATCACCTGCGCGTATTAAAAGTGTAGGTAACCCTTAACCAGGTCAGTAGAGTCAAATTTATGGCACCGCTCGCGTCGAGGATGGATTGTTCTAAAAAAATGCATCAACTTCAAGCTGTGGAGCGCACAAAACTTGCTGCTCCCGTCGGAGGAACACCAAACTCTCGTCCCTTTTTCTATTTCCTCCCCTCCTTCTCCACCTTCGGAGCCCCCTGCTTCTGCACAACAAGAATCCACTCATCCGTTCAAACCATGTGTTTTACGTCAGCGAGTCCCAACTGGGGTCCGGTGACCCGCAAGGGTCACTGGGAAGGATCCAGGGGGGTCGCAGGGAAATAAAACAGCATTTTGTTCTTGGGAAGTTTCCATTAAAGTTAAAAAAAATTAAGCGAATGTACCCGTCCCTGTGGAGTTAACTAAACAGAAGTTCTCAGATCACAGGTCTTTTAAAGACGTTTGTGTACAAAACAAAGTGGAAAATGTTCTATTTTGAGTGATTATTAAATGAAAAGTGCAAAGAAACGATTTCCTTACCGATACATATTTTAATCACAATTTTAATCTATTTGCAACTATTTAAATGCATCAAGACACTATTTATTAAAGTTATCGTTTTCTTTCATTCACGTTTTAAAAAAAGTCATCAAATGTCCAAATAAAAGTGAGAATGTTTTCCTATCTGAAAATCAACTTTTCTGGGAGAGTTTTGTGGTCAGGTTGCTGAGCAAACAGGAGCGTTTCCTGCGCCAGTGGCCCACTGTCCTACTTTTCTCCTGGCACCGAAAAGCCAGACAACCCAGCATTCACAGTTCAAGCTCCAGGCCTCCAGCCTTATTCCCACCACCACACATGTCAGAGGGGAGATTCCACAAATATAATAATAATAATAATAATAATAATAATAATAATAATAATAATAATAATAAAAGACTACCACGACTATCTCGCTGAGAAAAGAATACAGCTAAAGTTTTCTATTGATTTTACGCGCTGCAAACATCCAGACTCAGCTGAATAGACGGACTCTTGAGTGGAAATAGCTGCAAACAGCCACATCAATAATGGATCATAAAGAACCAAAACAGGAATCAAATTATTCAGAAAACACGTTCTTGCTTATTTGAAGTAATGAAATTTGCCATCATCTCGGAATAATATTCTCTAAACTTTCTTTTTAAATGCAATGTCAAAAGGCCACACACTCAAGGAAGCCTAAAATACACGCAGTCGACCTGAGGGAAGGTGGTGGAGGGGGCGATCGCCGCCACTCCCCGATGAGAAACCTACTGCGAGGAGCAAATTTCTCTAAAGAGAGGAAGAAAGCCGGACCCCGATGGGCGAAACACACACAACTATCAGTGAAATGGATGAGCGCATAACAATGTGTGTACCCAAACCTGCAGCAGCCACAGCGCCTCGCTGCGTAAACGCGTTAATATCACCAACAAAAGCAGGCTGGTTGTCTCTTTGGGGGTTAGATGTTAGTTTAAAGTGGAAGGCGAGAGAAGAAATGTGATTTTTAAGGAGGGAGGGGGCATAACGGAGCCGAACAGAGTTTTGGCTCGTTTGGTTTGGAGAAAATACGCAGCAGCACAAAATAAAATAAAAACGTCTTCTTACCTTCAACGGCGGAAACCACAGACAGCAAGAAGCTGCTTAAAAGCAGAAAGTAATCCATTGTCATACGCTCAGGTCGGACATGGAAATAGACCCACGACTGAGAAGGGGGGTGGAGGAACACGATCCTGGGTGATCCAACGCTCCACGCACCCGGTCCCGTCCCAGCTGCGTCAAGCCTCCGGGATCAGTGGTATCTCCATTCAGCGAGACAGGTGAGAGTTCACCGGACGCAGCAGCCTCCTTCTTAGAGACAGTTGTGAAAATAGAAGCCCTTCACGCTGTCCGGTGATCTCCAAAGCGCTCCGTGGAACACCGGAGAGGGAGAGAAGGGCGCAGTAAGTCTCCCCGTTGTGCGCACGCGGAGCGAATAAACAGAACGCAGGTAGTCCAGTCCGCCGGTCACCATCCACTCAGCGTCTCCAGCAGGGCTCGGTTCAGGGTGGGAACACGGGAAAGACAACCTGCTCCTGGAGAGTATCCCTTTAGAAATTACTTGGTGTGGTCACTGCGCTGTTGTCACCACCATGGCGCATAGAGTCCACACCGCTCACGTGCGTCCACGATCAATGGGGCATATTCCTGTAGTCGCACAGTTCACAAATATTTATTCCCTGAGCGATTTACTCAGCTTCGGCTTCTCCGTCTGCTTCTCTCGGCTCGTGCACAGGAATGAAGCTCCGGTCTGTGCAGGAATAAGGAGAGAGTGTGTGTGTGTGTGTGCGGAGAGAGAGAGAGAGAGAGAGAGAGAGAGAGAGAGAGAGAGAGAGAGAGAGAGAGAGAGAGAGAGAGAGAGAGAGCAGGGGGGCACAGAGAGGAGGGGTTACAGCAGCTGCGCGCAGAAATGCCTACCTTGACAATCACTTAGTTTCTCATTTATTATCAGAATAAAACATTTTGCGTTTTAAGGATCCATTTATCACATTTTAGATGTTCCCCAAACGCAGCTCTTTGTCTCAGCTCAATCCTTCCCTTCTCCTGAAACACAACCTGCGTCTTTGTTAGGAACATACACCTCTTCGGTTATGTTTGTGTTTGTTTAGTTCAATTATGAGTTTCTAAGAAAGCTTACCTAACGACAGCACTGTTGTGCTTTGCCTTTTTGTTTATGACTGATGCATTTGCAGCGGGTCACCGTGTTACTGAGGGCACAAATCCCCTGTTAAGGAACGGACTCACAGCGCCCCCTTTCGGATGGCTTTTCCAATTCGATGAAAAAAAGATACATTTTTGCTTTTTTGCACAATCAGAAAAAGTGATCGCATCCGAACTGAACTCAGGTGGACATTTATCCTGTAAATGATCCTTCTGGGACATTTTCTGACTTGATCACATCCGGGATTTTGTACTTAATTTCAGAAGAAGCGGAAGGGTTTTGCTGCTCCAGATCTGCTCAACAAACACGTGTGTTTGTTTAGAATTAGATTTATATGTGGTTCCTTTTTCTTCAGGATTTTACTTCACTTCCTCCCTGGATGAGAGGATGGAGGTGGGACCTGTCTCCACGTCACACTTTCCAGTTTGTCCATTTCACCCCATAATTTGTTTTTATTAGATTATTTTGTTACAAGTTTATCTAAACGATAGGAAATAAAATGAAAGCTATATATATATATATATATATATATATATATATATATATATATATATATATATATATATATATATATATATATATAATTTCGAGGAACAAATAAAACATATTTGGGAAAATTAGTCTTTAACTACAAATAGAAAATAAGCACACACACACATCTAATCCGAGGCGCTAGTTGAATAACAAAAACCAAGTAAATATTTCTAGTGAAAGCTTAAAGAAATGCTGAGTTTTTAAGGGAAAAGGGTGGTTGGTTCAGTTTAGCAACAATTTTATTTTTACTGAACTTGAACCAGATCCTACTGAGATTAAAACCTCTTTATAAGGAGACCTGGCCAATAGGCAGCAGCAGGTGTTTAATTAACATGGCAGTAATGACAGGAGGACATGAGGGCTGAGCTGGTGATTAAAGACAAGTTTGATTAATTTCTCCTTAAATGCTGGAACCTTCTAGTTCATAGAAACAGATCTCAAATGGAGTTTGGACCTTTCTCTGCTATTCTCCAACAAATAGATGCTGTAAATATATAATGAATGAATACACAAGTATTTATAATACAGTGTTTTGTATGAGATATTATAATAGGCGGCTATTGGAATTAATTTCAGAACTTTAGCTTCACTATAAATATACCTGACATGATAGGCTAGTGTTAATTTACTTTCATGCATCAATACTTATTATGTTGATAAAATTAGTTCATAAAGTGAGTTTCACTTATTCAAATACTCTATTTTCCAATTTATTGCTGCATTTTTTGGTTGTTTTGGTTGCTGATTTGAATAGAATAAACGAAGAGGACAAAGGTGGGGACAGTGTTGCGTCGTGTGAAATAGCATTTCTTGATTTTTTTTTTAGATCCGATTTAAATATAGCAAAAATATTAAGTGAGGAGTTAAGTTATTGATCCTAAACAGGAGAAAAACTAATTCAGTTGGCATTAAGGAATAAGGATAATCAAAGAAAAGAAAACTAAAACCCAAATACACAAATAAAAAATAAATAAATTAAAAAATAAAGGCATTGAAAAATGTCCAATCAAATAGCCAAAATATTCAAAATAAACTCATATTTTTTTATACATATTTTCAACAAAATAAAGTTTGTTTTATATATGAGTGGATTTTTAGAAACAATAACCAAAAAAACCAGGCAGAATTTAGCTGTGTTTAGGGGTCAGATCTTACTTGGATAAAAATTTCCCAGATGAAGTTCTGCGTACCTCATAAGACCGTCGTCCGTCTCCCAGGAAAATCCTGCAGGAACGTTGATGTAGGTAAGAGGATATGAAGCAACATCAAAGCAGACGTTGTCATTTGTTTCCAAAACCATCAAAGCCCCAGCTCTTGTGGCTGATCGCCATGAAGGGCAACCAGAAGTAAAGTCCTGACCGTGACCGTTGTTGACAGGACCAGAAGAGCAGCCTTCAGACAGAAACTAGACTTTGGAGTGACTACTCGTCTCAGGACTTTTACTTTCTTTGTTTACCTTTTCGTTTAGTTTGAGTGTTAAACGTTTAAAGGGTATCTGAGGAGTAAAAACTCGATGCAGGATAACTGTAAGTAATATCCTCCGCTGCTTGTCAATGTGAAAAACAGACAAGTCGGATCCTAAATACGAGTTTGGTATAAACCAGCATACTGTTGCAGGGAGTGTTTCCAGAAGGTCTAAATTAATAAATCCAGCTCTAAAACTCTGCAGCTTTAGCCGTATTTCACCTAATTTATAGTGTAGATTTATTTCTCCACATTTTACAGTTTGTATCATTTGGGTTTGGCAACCTAAAGTCGTCCCAATGAACGTTAAACATGGAGCTGTATTTACAGACCTGTCATACAACGGCTGCAACAGGCCATCTGTGTGTGTGTGTGTGTGTGTGTGTGTGTGTGTGTGTGTGTGTGTGTGTGTGTGTGTGTGTGTGTGTGTGTGTGTGTGTGTGTGTTGGCTTATTTTGGGATTTTTAGTAATGTTGCATTGACTTTTCATTGTTTTTAATCTTTTTCTTGCCTGGACACTTTCTGTAGCCATTAACCGTATCCAAACCAAGCTTGCTTCGGAACATTTACCTTTACTCTCTAATTCAGCTCTCACGAGGAAAGAGGATATTTCAGCCGCTTTTATACGAAACCTCCCTGAAACCAAATTGTGTGGACATTGATTTTGTCCCGATGCAGTGTTTGATCTGGTTTGAAGTCCATAATTTGTTTCAAATGCGGCCTAAAACAAATGCATATAAACACATACTATATACAGACACAGGGAAACGGTGCACTAAGTGCTCCTGAGAGTGTCCCAACAGCACCTGGCACACATTAGAAACTCAATAAGCAAAGTGGCAGACATTTTACTGCCATATGGAAATTTCTCAAGCTTACACCTACTGAGCTCTCGCCAGACCCTTGCTAACCTCATCCATCCTTCCTCCCACTCATCTCGTGCCAGGATATCGGTGTCTCTACTTTCTCTCTGCAAATGCACACAGACAGAAAGACTTTGCCTAACGTACCTCCCTTTCACTCCCCCCCCCCCCCCCCCCCCCCCCCCCCGACCTGCATGCAAACACTCTTCCACTTTTACATGCATAAAAGTCATGCAAGGCTTTAAACACACACATGCTCACATGCACCCTGTAGCTCTCGTGTCTGGGTCTGGTCTAGTAGCGGCACTAATGCAACGTGAGTGTGAGAGGATCACTTTACTGTGGCAATATTAGGGGAATGGTGAGATCTTGGTTGTGTTCAAGTGCCTTTTTATGTGTGTGTACGTGTACTTGAATGTGTTTGAGTGTGTACTCACAAAGAGGTAAAGTATAGTAGTAGTACTAGTAGTAGTAGTAGTAGTAGTAGTAGTAGTAGTAGTAGTAGTAGTGGTGGTGGAGGAGGTGGAGGAGGAGTTGGTGGTGGGTGGCTCTGGAGAATCTCACAAAGCTCAAAGTTGGAATCCAGGAAGAGAAAAAAGTGTGTGTGTGTGTGTGTGTGTGTGTGTGTGTGTGTGTGTGTGTGTGTGTGTGTGTGTATGTGTGTGTGTGTGTGTGTGTGTGTTCATGAGAGTTTTAGGGTGGGGGTCTATAATCCTGCAGACCTTCACCACTGACCGAGCACTTAACACAGGCTCACAAATCCAGTCCCGACTGAAACCCCGCCCCACCCACACACACACACACCCTGCCACCTCACCAGATTTCTCAACTTGGACCCCAGCGTCGACCGTAACTGACTTCTCTCTGCCTGGGATCCTTTGCCTCTCGGGCTGAACTGGAAAAACACATCCTTTAGTTTCTCAGCTCAGTGCAGATTTATGACTCAACCCTCAATCAGCATGATGACCCAGCAGTGTCTGTGCCGACAAACACACCAATAGGAGGGCGCTGAGACAGACAGGCAGTCATAGATAGACTCAGTCAAATGGACGTATGTGGATCACCATGTCATGCAGGCACATGCAGCTGACAAAGAGCCTGAGCATGAAAATTACATGCTGCACAGAGAAAAAACAGAGAAGGAACCTTTCACCACCACCACGGGGTTACGTAGTGAGCTCAGAAGTTTCACAGAGGTGGTGAGCAGTTCAGGTACGGAGGACGAAAACTTGTCTGTTTGGTTTTGTAGAAATGAGGTTTAAATTTTAGCTTCTGAGAGCAACAAAAAAGGGTTAAGTCACAGGGTCTTCAGAAGAAATATGTCCATAGGCAATTTAAATGTTCTATGTAGCAGAACAACGTGATGGCGAGGGAGTTTTTTCTCTTAGAATCCTTCAGATGTAAACTTTAGTAAACTCCAGTCTGAAAGATCTTTGACTTTCTCATTTTCATCTTTTGTTCCCTTGGCTGGACTTTTCTCTTTTAGACTTGAACAAAAACATAGTCATGAAACTATGAGTGTAAAACTAAAAGTCACTCTTTTCTACTCACTACTGATTTTAAATAACCAACTTTTACCTCATTTAGCCCAGATGTTCTCTTCTGTTATTTTTGAAAGCATGTTGATCCTTATTTAGTCTGAAAACAACCTGGGATTTGATCCACAGAGGCAGAAACCTCGACAGACACATTTGCGTCAGAATTAAGAACTTTTCCACGGTCCAGTCTAACGATGACCCCGTCACGTGTT